AGGGTTCCTGAAGCTTCCCTTTCTTCCTTCCTTGAGTCCAATATTTGTTCTTGCTTTATATTGTGTCCTTCCGTTCTTACTGTCTTTATTTTTCTTTGTTCCCTACGTCTATTCTTTCCTTATGTTATTCTTTCCTTCTTTGTTACTGTCTTTTATGTATCTCCTTCTTAACTTCTTCCTTCTGTTCTACCTCTATTCACTCCTTGTGTCATTCCTTCCTCCCTACCTTCCCTTCGTCCTTGTATCCTACTTTAGTTTTTCCTTTCGTCCACCTGTCCTTCTTTCCTTGCTTCCTTACTTAATTCTTTGTTTCCATCCTTACTTCTTTCTTTCTTTCCTACTTTCTTCCTTCTAGTTTCTGTTTTCCCAGGTTTGATATTTAAAGCCTGATTATTTATGTAAGAATATCAGGGAAAGCTAATGTGAAAGGCTTGGAAGTCTGGAATTTGAGTCTGAAAATTTCAGGAATTTTCAGATTAAAAAATGTGAATTACCTCTAGAGAGAAAAAGCCGTTTTTTTTCTACTTTCAGATGTACAGTAGCCCTTCAGGTCTCATGTTTCTGCTGTGGCAGGTTCTCTACCAAAGTCTGAAGGAAGTGCTGGAGTACAGCGGCAGCCTGGAGGAGGACATGATGCTCACCTTCCAGATATCGCACACAGATCTTTTTGGAAACCCCGTACTATATGACCTGAAGGAGAAGGGGGACCAGATCCCCGTTACCAAGGAGAACAGACAGGTGAGCTGTTTTCCAACTTCCAACGTTGTGGCCAACACTTCCTTTACATTTTATATAGAAGGTTGTAAGCCTCAGTCTAGAAGACCACATGATGTAAATTCCTAATTTTATGCTCGTTGTTTTCATTATTTTCAACTGGGGGATCATTTCCATAGAATCTGAAAAGATTTCTGTGTGACTTCTACTTAGATTCTATTATCAGGCCAGACTTTAAAGAAATAAATCCTACACATTCCCCAACATAGGCAGTCAGTTTTGTGGTTATTCCCAGATCTAAATCCTGACTTAAAGTATCTATCTTCTATTCCAAAGTCACTGGTTTTACGTCTAGTTACACAGATATAGAACATGCTGGTTCCTCCTTTGACTTAGGTGTGTTTCACAATTACAAAAACAGGAATAAGAACTAAATGAAATAACCCACAAGCTCAGCTGAACATCCTGGACAGTAACCAGGACAACAACCCCTCACCGACTTGTCATGTCAAGAAAGAAAACAACAGAACTAAATTGAAATGTTTGAACTTTTTAAAAATGTTGTTCCTTCTCTCTCTCTGTGTGTGTGTGTGTGTGTGTGTGTGTGTGTGTGTGTGTGTGTGTGTGTGTGTGTGTGTGTGTGCGCGCGTGTGTGTGTGTGATACATAGGAATTTGTTCATCTGTATGCAGACTACATCCTGAACAAAAGTGTGGAGAGCCAATTCAAAGCCTTTAAGAAAGGTTTCCTGATGGTCACGAACGAGTCGCCGCTCAAATACTTGTTCAGACCAGAGGAAGTCGAGCTTCTGATCTGTGGGAGCAGGGTGAGAAAAAAAAATCAGCAATCTCCATTTTTAATTTGGCAATGAATTGAACCTAAATAGAAAACAAAATAACTCATTTTGTGACTAGTTTTATGCAATTTAGAAAATCTAATGCCTAGAATTTAAATAAAAACTTAGTGGGGGTTTTTTTCTTCATAAAATTAAGTTTGGAAGAAAATCTTAAATGCTTTTAATTTGACATCATCAAGCAAAAGTATTCACACCTCATTTTCCACATTTCGCCACATTAGCAGTTTTTCAATGAGCAACTGCATTAAATTTCCACAAAATAATGACGCTGAAAGTACCAGAAGTACTTTTAGATATTTTTTTTTATCTAAAAGGTTGGAACCTAGGTTTTTTTGTTGTTGTTGTTGTTGTTGTTGTTGTTGTTGTTGTTTTTTACATAAGTTGTTCAAAAATATCCACATCTCATAGAACATGTACCCACGCTCTCTTTACTTTAAACCCGGAAAATTTTAATAAAATAGCATTTCTGTAAAAATAACAAATATTTATCCAAAATGATAATTATAAATCAACTTTTTTTTAAATGTTGTGTAACATTTGTGGCTCTAAAAGCCTTTTACGTAACTGGGCTAAGAGCCAAAATGGCTACCTGGAGTGTGAACGTTTATCGAGTTGGTTTTCAGGTGAAAAAGGTTTGTGGTTATGTTACAACAAAACATGGAAAATGAATGTGAATGTTTGTAAGTCACTGTGAGAATTACCACAGTGGTTTTACCCTCAGCTCCTGCTCCTGGGAAGGTCATAAACTGTATTATAGAAGAGTAAAGTTATTGATTAACTTTCCAAACAAGTCTTTGTATTCTAAGTATTTAGCTATAATGGACAGACGATGCTCTTATAAAACTGCATCCTTTAATCTCATAGTTTAAGAAAAGATTGAAAAGTATTAAGATAATATAAGTTCTCTCTTTTTTCCTTAGAAACTTGACTTTGAAGCACTTGAAAAGACAACAGAATATGACGGAGGTTACACTAAGGACAGTCAAATTATCAAGTAAGTCCGCTCACTGTCTTTAACTTTTGTCTCAGCTGTAAATGTTCTCATGTGGTTTCATTGGAGACACTGAAAAAACAAGGAATTATGAAAACTTGATTATTTTTTTTATCATTTTGTACTAATGGGAGCTTTTGAATAAGAACATAAAAATGTTTTCTGATAACACTCAGTTATTGTTTCGTGAACTGACGGTCTGATGGTCCGTCGTCCAACCATCATTTGCCGTTGTCCTCCAGAGCGTCACACTAAGATCATGCGAGGGTTCATTTTCTCAACAGAACAAGATTATTTTCTAATTTTGGGGGGGAACCACATGAAAGATGTTCTTATTGTGGACAGCTGCTTTTTGCAAGATGTTTTTCAAAGTCAACCTCCAGTGTTAGTCACTGATATTCCTCTCAAGAACAATTGGATTAATGTTACAGCTGGTAAATTTATGTTATAAAGTGAATCTGATTCATATGCAGTATGGAATTTGATTTTAGTACTTTGAAGATCTGGATAAGTATGGAGAAATATTTGTATTTCCAGACTTTATTCCATGTGTCACCAAAATACTGAAACCCTCTACTTCTTCTTTCATTATGTCCTTTGTTTCTTCTGTCCACTCCAGTGTCCTCCTTTCCTTCTAGTTTCTAACTCCTCCAGGTTCCATATTAAAGTGGAAATATAAACCATAAAGCCATAGTGAAGTTTAGCATTTTAAAACACTGACAACTCTGGAATATCTTTCTTTTTTTTTTTACATGCAGAATTCAAAGGTTTTTTGAATTAAGGTTCATTTTTGGCTGCAGAGACTTCTGGGAAACCATCCACTCTTTCGGAGAGGAGCAGAAACGACTTTTTCTCCAGTTCACCACGGGAACAGACAGAGCTCCGGTTGGAGGTCTCGGTAAATTAAAGATGATCATCGCGAAGAACGGCTCTGATTCAGACAGGTACAACTGGTCCAGGCAACTTCCCGTTGAATTTCAGCACACTCATCTCAAATAAATGTTGTTGTTTTTTGCGGTTCATTGCAGGCTACCAACCTCCCACACCTGCTTCAATGCCCTGCTGCTCCCTGAATACTCCTCCAAGGACAAACTGAAAGAGAGACTCCTCAAGGCCATCACTTACGCCAAAGGTTTTGGAATGCTGTAATGGATTTCCACAGAGAGTTTTCTGTCTGTGTGGGAAAGAAACAAAAAAAAAAAAAGGGAATACCACCAAAAAACAACAACAAACAAAATGCTGCAATAATAATTCTGTGCCTAATGAGTCTCTCACAGACAAACTCCACTGTTGGCCTTCCACGCTTAGCCCTCACTTGCTTTGTAACCTTGTCACTTGTAGGCATTAAAAATCCAAAATAAGTTCAACCTTCTCCCATCCCCACGTTCTGGTTCTGAAAAAGGCGAAAACCCGCTTGTGAAACTGTGAAAGTGCGCTTACGTGTAGCACATAAAGTATATTTATGAACTTAGTTTGACTTCTGATGCCTCTGACGTTTTTGAAAATGTAGCAGTATTTAGTCCTCACTGGGCCTGACGGTGCTCCTTGGCTGCGATTGTCAGTTCAGTAGACTGAGGTGAAGAAGCCTTTTATATTACCTGCTCACTGACCTTCAGTTCATTTTATGATTGAAACCTTTGTGCCGTGCCTCCTGTAGTGGATATGGACTGAATATCGTTTGCTGTGATCCTGATGTGATGGTGTTGGCTAAGTGTTTTAAAGGGGCAGTGTTATGTAAAATTGACATTTTGTTTTCGCTTTACATCATGTTATGATGTTATTCCCTCATCAAAAACACCTGGAGTGTTGCTTTTTCTTTAATGTTTGTTTGAGTAATCCTTGAATCTCCCATGGCAACCATTGTGGGTGCATAAACACATTTTCCACTCCTTTGAGCTCCTCCACACTAGTGGCAATAGCAATTATGGAGAAACGTTGTGATGTCTTCCTGAAGGCTAAATTTCAAAAAGAACAGGAGCTTCTTAAAGAGACAGAGGCCCAATATCAAGAATTGAATTGCAAAGTCAAATTTCTTTATATATATATATATATATATATATATATATATATATATACAACCTTTTTATAACAACTGACAGTAACGTAGTTACTCAATTGTGCCATAAAATGGCACCATGTGCCTGGAAAGTACATAATGCCACCCCTTTAAGATTACTTAGCGATTGGTTTAGTGTAGGGGTGGGCAACTCCAGGCCTGTAGGGCTGGTCTCCTGGAACCTTTAGATGTGTCTCTACTTCAACACACCTGTGTCAAATAATGAGGTCGTTAGCAGGACTCTGGAGAATCTGACTGCACTGAGGAGGTGATTCAGCTGTTGGATTCAAATGTGTTGGACCGGGGAGACATCTAAGTGCTGCAGGACACCGACCCTCCAGGACCAGGATTGCCCACCCCTGGTTTAGTGTGTCAAATCTTTTAAAAAAGCATCTCTTGGCTCGTTTCCTATGAGTTACTGATTTGCACACTTGTCCGTGCAAATGCCAAATGTGCAAGGCCTGTTTAAGGGAAACAGCCACAATACGTGTTTGATTTGGCCAAGTATCTCAGGTATGTAAAGAATTTGCAGAAAATGTGAAAAACCCTTCTGTAAACTCTCTAATATGCAAGGTAAATAAAGTTGAAAAATTGTAGCTTTGTTGTAAATTCCTGTATTCACATGGTATAAAAATAACTGGCATTTGATCACTAGCTTAAGTCACAGATTTCTTTTCTGTATGGTAAAAAATCTGTGCCAAAACGTTGTGCTAATGCTGATATCTCAGCAGTGATATTACGCAGTGTCACGTTACTCTGTAGATTCACATCCTGGAGTCTTGAACTGGCTACAACTGATAACAGCTCAACCTACTTTCTGATTAATGTAGCTATTAACTTTTTGGCCACATGGGGTACTCAAAGCATCCCCAGCTGGTTAGTTCATTATTAGAAATGGTCAAAATAAATAAATAAAACAAAATGGTCACTTTAACTCTATTGAGTAAATGGTGCACTGTGACAAAATGGTACACAGTTCAAAAAGTGACATTCAAAGTTACAAAATGTGGTAGGACTTGATGTTCCCTAAAATTAATTTCATTTTCTAATGTTTATACCCATGTAGCATGTTTATTGATAAACCAACACATTTGGCTGGATAGGAACCAGTGTGATATTACTTACGTGGATGGTTTAAAGCTATCTAGAAACACCAACATTAAAATTCATTTATCAGATTAAGTAATAGATGCTGTATGAGGAGTTATAGTGTTGAGCAGTTCCAGCTTGTTGTTAATTGAAAAATTATTTTAAATTGCTAGCATTTAAAGAGGCTGGAATTGTAAAGTAAGGCAGGAATTGTTAAGACAGTGATAGTCATAAGCAGCTAATTATGATCCATCAGAAATTAGTTGGATATGATCTGTTTTCAAAGTAAGTTTGACACTTTTATTCACACATAGACAAAGAAGTTATTTAATATGAACATTTTATTTGCATATAACAATCATATTTGTAAGAGTATACTGACGGTAACATATGAACAATACTGGCTTTTTAAAATGTTGAAATTTTTATACAATAAACAGTGCAGCTTAAGAAGAGCAATACATTTACCTGAATAATCTGAATTCTTATCAGGGAAAAAAAAAGTCATCCTAAGGCTATGAAAAGCCAATTTTTGGCATAAACAAGTGCTTCCACTCAACACACTCAAATTGTTTCAAGACGACAAAAGTAGCGGTCAGTCAGAAAGCACAAAAACAGTCTCTCTGCTTTCACTGTACACAGTTTGACACATAATGTGATGATAATAAACACGACGTATAAATAGTTAAAAATGTGGGCATTTATATGAAATAAAAGAGAATCAATTTCAAAGTTCTCCAGTAAAGTTTTTTTTTTTTTCACTGGACCTTTTTGTCTTTGTCAGCCACCACTTCGGAGAGGTCCTCTGGTTTTATGGATTTCACTTTTCCCTCCATCTTAGTGACCCTCTGCTTCAGCCGTGCCTGGGTGGAGGTAAACTCTGCCATCAGCTGAGCAAACTTGGTCTGCATCACATCCAGGTTGTCCTGCAGTTTCACGATCTTCTCGTCCAGATCTTTAGGGTCCGCGCCCGCATTCGCCACCGCCTCGTCGATTAGGTTGTCTTTCATCAGGATGGCTTTGCCCTTTTCTTCCAGAGCTTTCTTGGCATCTGGATACTCAGTGAGCGCCTCCATCAAGTCGTCTTTGGACAACGCGAAGAGATCAGAGTAACCCACACTTCGGATGTTGGCCGTTCGTCGGTTACCGGCTTTACTCCCCTTGATGCCTAAGATACTGATTTCTCCAAAGTATGCCCCGTCGCTGAGCACCACAAACTGAGTGACTCCGTCATCAGCCACCACTGCCAGCTTTCCTTCCTTTATGATGTACATCTCCCTGCCAATATCCCCTTTCTTACAGATGTAATCTCCAGGACTGAACACCTGTGGCTGCAGCTTGAGCACCAACTCGATCAACAGACCAGCTTCGCAGTCCTGGAAAATTCGCACTTTCTTTAGCGTATCCAAATGGACGTTGATGGCAATTTCTGCCTTAAGCTTGTCCGGGAGAGTTTTCAAAACTTCTTTCTCATCGCAGGTCTTCTTTTCAGTCCAAAGATAGTCAAACCATTTGATCACTCTGGCCTCCAAGTCTCTGGTGACTTTTCGAAACTGCATGTATTGTTTTATGGAGTCGATCTTTGCCTGAAACTCGGCACGAGAGGCATTCATGTTGGAGATCATGGCACCAACGTTACCGACGATACTAGCAAAGATTAGCACTCCGGTGAGAAAGTCCCCAATGACAAAGAGGAATTCAACATCTTTTACTGGTGCTGGGGTTTCTCCGATAGTGGTGAGGGTGAGTGTCGACCAGTATAGGGAGTAGATGTACTTTCGTGCCAAGCGACCGTGCTCTGGGTGACTGATGTTGGGATAGACCCACGTGTCAGATCCAAAGCCGATGCTTTTCGAAATGGAAAAGAAAACACAAGCATTCCAGTGGATGATGATGAGGATGTAAAGCACAAGATTGCTGATACGAAACATGTTCGGGAAGCTGGTTCTTGTCTCGGTGCGCTCAAAGAACTCAAAGAGCCTCTGGATTTTGCAAAGACGGTTGAAGCGAAACTCTGGGTTGTCAAATCCATACTGCAGAAAGAGCAGGTCTGTGGGTATCATTGAAATCATGTCGTATTTGAACTGAGATGTCGTTCTGTATTTAGCTCTCAGTTTTTTGCTGTCTTTTACCAACAGTCCTTGTTCAAGGTAACCTAAGAGAAGCAAAGCACAAAATAAGAGACCAGCCCACAACATACAGTGAAGATTAAGTTGCATAAGAAAAAAAAAACACATTTCCTTCATTAAACATTTCCAGAATTCGGACCTGTTCTTGATCTGACAAATGTGTCCATGTAGTAGATGATGTCTGAGGTATAGTCCAAGACTATCCAGAGTTTGGTATACGAAGATTGGAGCTCATTAAAGGAGGCCCTAGAAAAAGAGAGAGAAGCAAAAATCAGCAAAGAACTTTTGTATTCAGGAAAATGATAGTAGTACTAACAAGACAGTACCTTGTTACAATCATGATCAGGTTATAAAACACTGGGCCTGCAATGACACTCAGCCATCTGTAGTACTGGTCCGTAGATGGATCCATCATCCAGTTTTCTTTCCTGAAAACAACTTGGTACTTAATAATGGCAATATGAAAAACATTACAGAGAAAACAGATTTTTTTTTCCTTCTGAAATTCAAATTACAAACTGGACTAGCATCGGCCTACAGTCTCTAACACAATACTCACGGAGGTTCCTCTTTCTTCTTATCGTCTTTTTTATCATCTTTCTTCTCGTCTTTCTTTTCATCTTTCTTCTCATCTTTCTTCTCGTCTTTCTTTTCCTCCTTTTTCTCGTCCTTATTTTCATCTTTCTTCTCATCTTTTTTTTCCTCCTTTTTCTCGTCCTTATTTTCTTCTTTCTTGTCTCCGTCTTTATCATCTTTTTTTTCCTCTTCCTTTTTCTCGTCTTTCTTAATCTCATCTTTTTTGTCCTCTTTTTTGCTAGAGATCACAAGCTCAGTCTTAACAGTGTTGAAAAGGGACTCAGAGTGGGGAGGGATGCGAAAGATGCAAGCTACCGATCTACATAGGGAGCAACTTCAGGGAGACTAACAGAATTGAGGTTTTTGTTGTAAGGTCCGATGTAGGTCATATTTCCCGCCAGCAGATGGCGCAGCATGCTTAGAGTTCTAATGGAAGTAAATTCGTCTCTAATTTGCAAACCCACATCCACTTGCAACAGAAAAAGTTAAGAAGTCGAAGGGAAGCTGTCATTATCACCATAATTAGTATCAGTATTTATCTTTATGATGCTTGTAAAAGGAACAGGAAGAAGGGAAATACACTTTCTACGGTTTTTGTTCTTGCTACTGACTAACTGCATTAGCTACAAGAGGGGAGGCTACAAATACTACAATGAATAGATGTATATCTATATCTACTTCTGAAAACTTGGGTACACTTACTCATCTGTGTTGTTGCAGTTATTTATGTTGTAAGTAGCAAGAGGCCACTTACTGGAAAGACTTAGAAAAAGAAAAACAGAAAGAAATGTCTTAAGATATCTTATCAAGATATATTTCCAGATACTAAAATACCTAAAAGTGAAAGTAATTTTTTTAAAACAAACTTAAGATCTTTACAGTTAGACAACAATCTCATATACAAGATTATTTTTTTGTTTTCAGTTGTGTTTTTTTTTTTTACCATATCAGTGCTAAATTTTATTTTCTTGTATATTTGACAATATAAAAAGTACCAAAGAGGCATAGGGCCAAAAAAAATAAAAAGTAAGAATCCTTTTTTTCAGTAATGAAAATAATAGACTGCCCTTACTTAGTCTTTATCTTCAGAATAAATACATAACACATATTGAAGCCTTGCCTGCTCTAGTATAGATGTTTTATTTATTCATTTATTTGTGCTCTTTACCTCTTGTCCACACCCAAACTGAATGTTGGGCTGAGACAAAAAATATCCTAAAAAACTGTTTTCCATGAGGACATTTTATAAAACTTTGTGTCATGAACTGGATACACAGAGGTTTGCACATTCCCACCAGCGACTCCAATTTTCCTGACTACTTCCATAGATATCGGCTTTTGTTATAGAGTTAGGCTTATTTTTTGTTTGTTTGTTTGTTTAGCTAGGTTAAAAACAAGCAGCGAATCACACCATGTTTTTCAAACTTGCAGTTATAGAAAAGACCTCACACTCAACTCGAGTGTGACCGAGCTCACACTTTGAGACAAAAATAAAGCAGTTTGTGCTATTCAGGACCTTCTTGTTTTTATCATTTGTTTGTATTTAATGTCACTGTTAGCACCACATGCTAGCATACCATAGATTTAACACAGATCTTTGGTTCTAAGAAATGGTCTGGGTCAAAACTAGAGTTGCCAAATGTCTCATATTTGCCGGGATGTTCGGCATTTTAAGCCAAATTAAAGTGTGCCTTATTTAGCCGCAGCCCGCAATTTGTATTTACAAACACTAGATGGCACTCCTCTCCTTACTTAACAGATCTAGATTAGAAAATATGCTTGGTCTGCTGGCGCTTCTCATCCGAAGCTAAATCGAAAAATGTGTTTTAATTGCCTATATAGAGGAAAATACAAAGAACAGGAGACTCTTCGACTGCAAAAAGGTATAAGAGCAAAAGAACAGGTGACTAAAGCTTTTTGCAGGTTATGCCATCAGGAGTTTTCAAGCGGATATGGAGGTGAGAATGATTAATCTCACCTGTTTTAGTAAAACTTACCTAATGTGCTTTTGAGCTAAAATGCATATTAGGTAAACGGTAATGTTTATTTAGAATTAAAAGGTAAGTGTGGTTAGTTTTTTTAGTTCTACACATCTTGATTTAAAAACATCCTTCTGTTTACTGAGACCAGCTGAAAAGATGTAAGAAAATAAAAACATTGTGCTGATTAAATCCCTCTTGTTAATCTTTCACATTAAATGGACATAACTCATTCAACTCATCAAATGTTGAATGAGTTAAATCCAATATTTAAAGTTACTCAAATGTTGGAGAAATAAAAATATATTGTGGGATGATGTCACAATTGATACATTACGTCATTAGTCCCCCCGCACCTTGGTGGAGCTGTCCCTATTTTGGAGGTGTTGCTTTGGTAAGCTTAATCATAACAGAGTGTAAACCAAGTTTGTAGAATCCGATATTGAGCATATGATTGAAAACTGTGGCTCTCGCTACGTGATTTTGTTTAACGTAGCGCCGTTTCAAAAGACACTATACTGTGAATGGACGCCGTCTAGTGACTACAAAACAACAGCATACTTACGTTTTCTTTCTTTGTGCCTCGCTCTCCCCACTGGTTGCATCCTTAAGGGCCGGGGCCCTGATGCGCTCCAGGAAGGAGTCATTCCTCTCCTCTACAGGGTTCACTCTGTGGGATACCCAGTCCCGCAGCATGAGGAAGAGGTAAGACAGCCTAAAAGGTCAGCGGGAGGTGAAACGGTACAAAATGACATCGCTCTGCGCCAGGATGGATTATTCATCATGTTGGCTTACAGGAAATACAAGTTGTGCTGGAGGTAACTAATATGACAAATGTATGAAAAATAAAAGTTCTTAATATTGATTCCGTACTTGTACGCTTGGGTAAAGCGATGTGTAGGACCTCCAGATGGCCATTAGAAGTAAATGTACCTAAATGTATTGATATCCTTAGTGACTATATAAACTTGCACCTACTCCCAACGTCTATTGAAATCTTTTTATTGGTATTTTCAGTTTCTCCAGTCTTTGTCCTTATTCGCCCCAAATTTGAACTTAGCTCACAGGTTCTGTTTAAATTTGGGTCAAGCAAAGGAAGGCATTGAAGGTAAGGATAGGACATGTCAAAGTACATCCTCACTTTCACTTTTCACTTTCCGTCTGCACTTCTGTGCTTACAGTAGCCGTGTCTCCATTGACCATACGATTGCGCAATTTAACATTTTGAAAATAAACTCACTTAATGGAAACAAGGCAATAAAATAGCGATACAAAGTCTTGGTGCTGGGATGAGGTGGTCTTTTGGCCCAATTGAAATTAGTTTATTTTGCAAAACTGCAATGGAAATACTTTTTTTTTTTGCATCTGGTTGTTGATCACTGGGTTTTAGTACAGTCATCACAAAGAAGAAGACGACAGGAAGAAGTTGGAGGATGATGGTACGACATGTTTTTTAACGGCTTATTGCGTGAACAAACTTATTCACGTCAGATTTCATGTAAATACCTCAATTGTGAACTTGCTAATTTTTGACCTTAGCTGAGTATTGACTATAGTTTGGGCACATTTGTAATTGAAACACAGCTACTGTTGTCTTTACAGCATTTGTTTCTGCTAGAAGAGACAAACTAGGCTTTGCATCTTTACTTCCTGTTAGCAGCCCACAAGGCACAAATGAGTCCAAACCATTTCAAACTGCCTTTTTGGTGCAAACATCCACATGGAGATCAAACAAAGCAAACTCTACTTGCCAAGGAAAATTCTCAGAAGACTTATTACATTACGGTGTATCTCTGAAATGACCAGGAAGTCTTGGCCTACATCTCTGTTTTCTTGTCATCCATTCAATTGATCAGGAAAAAATAAAATGCTGATCTGGACCCAAAGAACTGAGTCAGCAGATGCAACACAATGAGTCCCTGGTGTTATAAATCTAAATCTAGACAGTCAAATAAGTTTTTTTTCTTACTCTACCCCTACTTATTAGCACTCAGAATGTAAAAGTGCATAGACGTTCACCTGGCCAATGCCCCTCCACCTCTGTGTGGGCTTCTGCGAGACCCTAAGGACAATGCTCTTGCGGAGACGTCTTCACAAAGAGAGTGGGCCCTAGGAGACAGCAGATATGGTAAGAGACACTCATTTGATTTTGGAATCTAAAAATTATTACAGCACTCCAAGGATCTCCGGTATCAGAACGCAAAGTGAGTTTATTCCCTAACTCGGCTTTCAGACCTGCTGTCCCCATTTTCCATGGCAGCGAGTTCATCGTCGGATGTGTTGGTGGACGGCCGATGTCTTGCTGAAAAGGAGCTTTCACTGCACACTTTTGCCATATTGCTGTAGCTGCCTGTGCGGAACAAACACACACACACACACACACACACACACACACACACACACACACACACACACACACGGTCAGTTGGGCTGAAACATCGTTGTGAATTAATTAATTAATGGAAGGTGTAAATGTGTTGACTGGGTCCCGACATCTGTGTGAGAGTGCCACCTAAAAATACTTCTTGTTCCCTGAACACTAAACAAGATCAGTGTTGTCTTTTGATGAACCCACCCAGCTGGCTTTTAAAATAAGCTATGGCTTACAGGTAGAAAGAATGCAGTGGCTGTGTTTAGTGGTGTATACAGCTGGTTAAGTCTATTAGAACGCAGCTTAGAGAGCAAGTACAACAGTAGGTGGCTGAGAGCCCCAGCAGGCTGCAGACACGGCCCAATCTGGAGAAGAAAAAGGTTCTATTTTTTACATGTTGCACAGAGATTCACACCAGAATCTTAAAATGCAGTTTTCATGATCCCGTCCTGTTTTTACAAAGACGTCTCGTCTTGTCTATGTCCAGGTAATGACTCGCTGATCTCTGGGTACAACCAGTGGTTGTAACACGTGCACTCATGTAGATTACAGATAATACCGAGGAGTTAAGCTACCCCCACTAAATTCAATCACACTGAAGAGCATTGCCAAAAAGCTAAGTGTTTGAAGGGTGACGGGGGGTGAAATCAGCGGCGTCTGCGCCGTAAATATGAGCCAGCATCACTATCGTGCTGCTATGCAGCAACTTTGTTGACCAGCTTGTTTACGTTTATGTGCTGCATCGAGAGAGCAAAGGTCACTCGGCGTCACTTTGCTGTGATTTGATTATTTTTTGAGTCAAAGGGTCAAAATCTGTCTCTCGAGCTCAGTGGCGTCAACAGTATTGTCATTTCCTCCGTTGTGACACAAATTTATGGATTTCTGTAACTGAATTTGAAGAATGAGAAAATACTCAAAAAAAGCTTTAGATTTATAATAATAATAATGATAATGGTAATATTGGTATAGCACTTTTCTAAGTTCTCAGGGACACGTAGAGGAACAATATAAAAACAAACAATGTAAAACAGAAGAACTCACAAAGAGGACATATGCATTAAAAGCTATTTTAAACAAATGGTTTTGGCTTTTTTTTATGTCCATACATGACATGCAAATCTAAAGCAGCAATACTACTGTACTATTCTGCAGCCTTACAAGGATTCAACACTGTCTTTTCCATTTTACAGCTAAATAGTCACAGTGAACCTATAACTCACTTGTTTGATGTTTTCTCACGCTGACATTCTCAAACTGGCCCCAGTATCCACAATCCTCTCATTTCTTTGATATAGTTCCATCTTCCCAAATGAAAATGGGATCTTTCTTTTTTCTTCTTCTTCTTTTTTATTTTATTTATTTTTTTTACTACGTCTTTGCTGGTGTTTTGCTTGATCCAAGCGAGGTATTCCAGTAGAGTAGTCCCCGGTGCGCAGTCACCACAAAAATAACTGAAGGCTGTCCATAATTAGATCCAGGAGCTCTGCAGCCTGAGGTCGGTGCAGACTGAGCTCCCGGCTCCCAGGAACAGACAAAGGGGAGGAGTCCTGCACCATCGCTGCACCTGCCATGACCACCTCTGACAACAGGTTAGCCAAAAAAAAGCCATCCAGTTGCAAATGTTTACATAGTAAGATCATATCTTGCAGCTGGATTTGAATCTGTCTTTGTGGTTGTCTGAATCAGCAGACAGCCACAGGAAGCTTAAAAATGTAATCATAAGAAAATGAATGCAACTATTTTCAAATAAAAAAAAATCTTTATTGACCCAAAGGGAAATAAAATTTTGCTGTAACTCAAATTACTCAAGATTCTTCAGAGTTATTTTAGATGTTGATGGCTGTGGGACAGAAAGATCTCCTGTAGCAGTCTGTATTACAGAGAATTTGAAGAAGCCTCTGACTGAAGGCTCTAAGTTTTTTCTGTGACCGTCTCATTATGTGAAATTCTTGTTTGTGCCGTCATCTCCAGAGGTTCCACAGTAGTCCCTCGTAAAGAACCAGACGTCTTCACCAGATCGTTGAGCAGCTGTAATGTGTCTATTTCAGTTTTACACTAACACCCTCCAACAACATTTACCATTTTCTCTTATGACCCTCATTTATTTGGTAATATTCAGTCCCTCACTAAAATATTTATATCAAGTCTTGACTTTGACTGGACCACTCTTTAAAGACATGAATGTGCTGTGATTGAGGCTCTCCACCGATGGTCCACTGTGATGTTTTGCAACATTGTTTTATTTGGATCAGTCTAAATCCAAATCTGAAACTGGAGGATTTTCAAGTAGGTAATATGTTTTATATACACTGTAAAGATTATGACATATATGGCTAAAATTTAGGGGTCTTAATTCTCTCACGCACCTTTTCAGCTCTTCCCACAAATCCTCCATGGATTTGACATCAAGATTTTGTGAAAACCACTCCACAAATGGGTATGTTAACATATGATGAGGTATTTTGTGTGAAGTGTAGCGATATTTATGGTACTTCTAAAAGAAAACATCACGGGTCTAGTTATAGCGCCGTCGTGCCGTCCAACCGCCTGCTGCTCGTCGGCCCAGGCATAAGGTTAAAGAGAAATCCCTTGGCAATATACGGCGTTGCCAAGCTAATCCCAGATTAGACTTGAGTACCTATTTCAGCCAGCTAATGCCCCCTCGCTTAAAGCAATAGAACGTTTTGCCTTTTGTGTTAATATTACATTGAATACGCCGTCGGACACACGCTGTATGTTCCCTGTGATCGGCACTTTGATGTTTTCAGCTGAGAAACTCTATTAGAGATCGTCTCCTTTATTTTGATTTGATCAAAAACAAATGAATTTGGAAAGTTTTTGTATCTGAGTTTTATCACAAACTGAATTAAATGAGGACTGTGATATCGTTTAGATTAATCACTACTTAGAGTAGGTTTAAAATAACTTGCTTATTGTGGTCTTTTTTTTATTTCAGTCAGGGAGTGAATTGGCCAGTAGACCTCAGGTACAGTGATCTTATGAGAGCATTCCTGCTAAAAGTCAGTCAGCCCTCACGGCATCTTAAATCTTAGCTTTCTAAAGTACAGTTGCTCCTCCCTCATTAGCTTACACATGAATTTGCCACGAAAGTGCATGTTTTGGAGTTTTTATGTTGTCTTTTGGTGCTGAGGACTTTTTTTTTTTTTTTTTGCTTTAGCTTAATTTTTGGTTTTTCAGTTTCTCTTGTAAGTTACACTTTGCTATGAAACACAAAATATGTGTGGAAGGAAGGTTAGATCAGGTCATCAGGAAGATGTAAGATGTAAGATGTAATTCAATGCAGGTGTTAGGAGACAGAAGGATTTTGGGTAACATCACACTAATGGACAGTATGTCCCAGTCTATGCATGAAGCGGTTTCTACGGAGCTCCTTCAGTGACAAATCACTGAATCCTAAGTGCATAAATCAGCGTTACCACAGATCCTTCCTCCTGGCAGCCATTAGACTATGACCATCACTACTCCAGACAAACTCAATAAGTCTCTGTTTGCAGCTTTTCTTATAGTCTGTTGTTGCCTTTATATGCACAAATGTACATGCACTTTTATACATTTTTTAAATGATTCTACTCATGTTCATGTTCCTTTGAGTCGGAGAATACTATTTTTAATAAGCAAATTTTTTGTTATGCTATAAAGTTGTCCTTATTGTACAGTATGTTAATCTTCCTGTTTGTTCATATTTTCATCCTTGTGTGAATCTGCATTTTATCGACTTGCCTGTCAGTTGGTGCTCCTGAATTTACCCACAAAAGGTTTTTTCTACTCTAAAGTAACACAACGCAGCGTAACGCAACGCAGCGAAACGCAACGCAGCGTAACGCAACGCAGCGTAACGCAACGCAGCGAAACGCAACGCAGCGAAACGCAACGCACGCAACGCACGCAACGCACGCAACGCACGCAACGCAGCGAAACGCAACGCAGCGAAACGCAACGCAGCGTAACGCAACGCAGCGTAACGCAGCGTAACATCTTCAGTGTCATTGCACTTTTCCTTACAGTGTACACAAGCGCAACAAGATTGGGGCACAGTTCTTTCCTTTGTGCAATTATATAAAATAATAAGTAAATAAACACGCTATACACAATCTAGCATGACATCACATAGTGTCAAAAAGCGATTTTCAGGGTTACAGTCCTGTTGTAAAAAGTGTCCCTCACTCGTTTTGTTCTTGTTCTATTCTAGAATATAGCAAAGCAGATTATTTAAAGCTAGATGTTTAGTTAATGAGGTCTTTTGTGAGGCAACTAGGTCTTACGAAAAATAAAGAGTGGATTCACTGTAGATTTTTGTACCGCTTTCTCAAACTTAACACGAGCAAACCGCAGGTTCGGCACCGCTTGTGAAGACAAAAGTTCACCACAAAGAACTCTGATTCAGTTTGCCTGTAATTAAATTAAGTATTACTCATGTGCTTGAATATAATCTAATCAAGACAAATCAAATTAGATCAAATCAAACTTCTTGTCATTTTGTTGTGGTCTAAAATGAAGCACAATAGGGCTTCACTGGGATCTCTGATGTAATTGAAACAAGACAAAATTGTGCAATAATGTCGTGTAATATAAAGTATAGTTTCCTTACAAGGAGCAATCTTAGCTTGTCTCGTTTCATTGGCTGTTTGACTTCCTTATCCCTACGAAGGAATCAAAGATTTTGGATGCCAGTTCTAATAAATTGTTAGGGTCTATTGTTTTCTGTGGGCCTCTTTATTCTTGCTTGTGAGATTAGTTTTTGATGAAAGTTGATGGAGAACCACCATGTCGGTGTGTAGTTGTTGGATTTTGTGTCTTGTGGTGTTGAACTTGTTCAGAATAGAAACATTTTGTCCTCAGCCTTTCAAAGTGCATTACACCATAGATAGAACATCATATGAAACAAGCAGCAAATATTTTATTTTGTCAAATGCCATCATCAAAATAATGAAAAATGTTGACCAATGTTCCAGTTTCAGTAGATGAAGTTAGCTCTCGAGTCTCTTATTTATGCCTGCTCTCATATTTTTGATCTCCATCTGATAGCCTTTCATGCTAACAAGATGTGTGGAAATTACAACATACTAATTCGCTATTTAACAATATTCCATTTCTTCAGGTTGTTGAAAAACATTACTTTAATAGTCAAGGTTTCCCCCAGTGTATTATTAGCCTGGCGGGCCACCAGTCTTTACTTGTGCCCCCACCAGGCTAAGCATTGTTTACTTATTTTAGTTTATTTTTTAAATTGCCTTTTTTTAAAAAGACTTTATAGTTGGGGTTTAGGTATTAAGTTTCCAGTCTTCCAATAACACATAATTGTTAAGTGATATTTTCAAATTTCCTGTCAACTATAAAAAAACTCAAAAACACAGTGAACCGTTGCATGACTGCCGTAGCGCCCCAAGCACCTCGCTTAGCAAGTTTTCTGGGGGAAACCCTGCTAATTACTAATTTAAAAAATATATAAATAATGATTGTAGATTTGTTTTTGCCTGTCACATGGATCGTAACAAAAAGCACTCATAAAAAATGTTTCTTTGAATCAACTTTTAAAAAATAAAAAAAATTTTGGCAGACAATTATTAGTTTTGCTCAAGCTATATTTCGAATAAATCCAATTTCAGAATCATGAATTACTGCTAATAAAATTAACTGTACCAAATTAGAGTAATTAATTTTCTTAAGTTGTTTCAGAGAAACGGTTTTTTGTTTGTTTGTTGTTTTTTTCAGTGTAGAGCGGGTTTGATTGCGGCTGTTGATCTGAAAGGACCGAGAGGCACCAAGGCAAAGCTCCCTGAGGCGGCCGGCCAAAAGGAAGCCTTATTCAGGCAGCAAGTAAACAACACAGACAGCAGCTTTTGCTTACATGAAAATTAACCCGATAACATAACTAATCTGCTCGCTCGGTTTTCATTGCATTGTTTAAATTTATTTATTTGTTCGGCTTTATCCTGCTCGGTGCGGCTCGCCAGCTTGTCACACGGCCAACCCAGAGCTTCAAGGGTCATCAAATTACCACATTCACACACTCATGTACAGGTGTTTTCAAATCACTGATTATATGATAAGCATGCAAGAAAGAAAGAAAAGCACTCACACAGGCATGAGGAGAACATGCAAACTAAACAGGCCAGATGGAAACCGGAGACTTTCTGACTGCAAGGAGGCGATCTCAGTGTTTAAAAATGATTAAAACCCAGCTGAAAGCGATGTAAACGTTAGCGTCTTAGCAAGACAGGCCTCACAATAAGGATATCTCACAATTTCAAGAACACTGAGAATTATTTTTAGCCTACGTGAAGTGAAACGTTTTTTTAAATTAGATTTAAACTTAGAAAAAAAAAGGTACTGAGATTAAACATATATAAACATGAAGTAAAGTAAAAAAAAAGTCAATTTTACATAATACTGGCCCTTTAAAAAATTCACAGAGGTCAGACCAGTGTCAGATCGACATAACAAACATTAGCCACATCCGGGGGGGCAG